TAATTCACTGTATGACAATTCCAGTGGGTCAGAAGTTTACTAACACTAAGTTGACTGTGCCTTTAAACAGCTTGGAAAATTCCAGAAAATTATATAATGGCTTTAGAAGCTTCTGATATGCTAATTGACATAATTTGAGTCCATTGGAGGTGTACCTGTGGATGTATTTCAAGGCCTACCTTCAAACGCAGTGCCTCTTTGCTTGACATCATGGAAAAATCAAAAGAAATCAGCCAAGACCTCAGACAAAATATTGTAGACCTCCACGAGTCTGGTTCATCGTTGGGAGCAATTTCCAAATGCCTGAAGGTACCATGTTCATCTGTACAAACAATAGTACGCAAGTATAAACACCATGGGACCACGCAGCCATCATACCACTCAGGAAGGAGACGCGTTCTGTTTCCTAGAGATGAACGTACTTTGGTGCGAAAAGTGCAAATCAATCCCAGAACAGCAGCAAAGGACTTTGTGAAGATGCTGGAGGAAACAGGTACAAAAGTATCTATATCCACAGTAAAACAAGTCCTATATCGACATAACCTGAAGGGCCGCTCAGCAAGGAAGAAGCCACTGCTCCAAAACCGCCATAAAAAAGCCAGACTATGGTTTGCAACTGCACATGGGGACAAAGATAGTACTTTTTGGAGAATTGTCCTTTGGTCTGATGAAACAAAAATGGAACTGTTTGGCCATAATGACCATTGTTGTGTTTGGAGGAAAAAGGGGGTGGCTTGCAAGCCGAAGAACACCATCCCAACCGTGAAGCACGGGGGTGGCAGCAACATGCTGTGTGGGTGCTTTGCTGCAGGAGGGATTGGTGCACTTCACAAAATCGATGGCATCATGAGGAAGGAAATATATTGAAGCAACATCTCAAGACATCAGTCAGGAAGTTAAACCTTGTTCGCAAATGGGTCTTCCAAATGGACAATGACCCCAAGCATACTTCCAAAGTTGTGGCAAAAGGGCTTAAGGACAACAAAGTCAAGGTATTGTAGTGGCCATCACAAAGCCCTGACCTCAATCCTATAGAAAATTTGTGGGCAGAACTGAAAAAGCGTGTGCGAGCAAGGAGGCCTACAAACCTGACTCAGTTACACCAGCTCTGTCAGGAGGAATGGGCCAAAATTCACCCAACTTATTGTGGGAAGCTTGTGGAAGGCTACCCGAAACGTTTGACCCAAGTTAAACAATTTAAAGGCAATGCTACCAAATACTAATTGAGTGTATGTAAACTTCTGACCAACTGGGAATGTGATGAAGGAATTAAAAGCTGAAATAAATAATTATCTCTACTATTATTCTGACATTTCACATTCTTAAAATAAAGTGGTGATCCTAACTGACCTAAGACTGTTTTTTTTTTACTAGGATTAAATGTCAGGAATTGTGAAAAACTGAGTTTAAATGTATTTGGCTAAGGTGTATGTAAACTTCCGAATTCAACTGTACATTGCAGTGTGTAACGCAGCCTAGTTGTATTTACACTATCCGAGCAGCTATTACATTTTAGTCATTTAGCAGACGCTCTTATCCAGAGTGACTTACAGTTAGTGAGTGCATACATTTGTATTTATTTTCATACTGGCCACCCGTGGGAATCGAACCCACAACCCTGGCGATGCAAGCACAATGCTCTACTAACTGAGCTACACGGGGCCTATCTTAGAAATATAACTTTGCTCTGTGCTTCTCCAAGCATGCACTTCGTAGCCTAAAGCCTATAGGCTATGGATCATTTGATTGAGATCACACTTAATAGCCTATAGGCAAACTTGATATTGAGTGCCCAGCGCCCATTGGAGAATCAGGGACAAGGGGCGGCATCAGGCAAACATCGATACATAGTCTAATAAGAAAGTAATTCTAAAATATAGAAATTTCATTGATTAGAAATGACATGACCCTCCCCTGGACTAGATTAAAATTATACTAAATCCTCACCTTGACTGAAATTGAAAAAAAAAACATTTCCTCCAGGTAACCATTCTGTAAATGTCGATCTGTCCCGTGGTCATTGCTTACCTGACCCTCAATATTCATTATGACTTCTTCTAGATGTGAGTCTAGGGGGAAATTCACATCAACAAGTAGGCTGATAAATATAAATATTTATAGGCGTGACAGTTGCAGTTTGGTCAAACATGTACACATTACACACGACTGCTCTAGTACAGGTTGTTACATGTTCCTTGAGGCTCAAGAGGCACATAAAGTCCTGGACCACCAGAGCTGTTCTAAATTGCAGTTTTACAACAATAAGTAGTTTTAAAAAAGCATTATTGTTAAACAGTCTCATTTCAATTAGCCTACTCTATGTAAAGTATAAATGTATATGATCTCAAAAGTATTGTTGACTTGATAGCAATTCCAGTGCTGTCAATGTGCGTGTGTAATGAACCTTTTCTATGCGTGAATGAATATCTATTTTACGACAATCGGCGTTTTACGACAGTCCAGTTCTTTTCTGTTATTCAGGTTCGTCACTAGTTACCTCGGCTACAAAGTCATAAACCACGCCTATTCCTACAATTTGTTTTATTAAAATCAGATTTTAAACCTAACCCGAACATTAACCCTAACCACACTGCTAACCGTATGCCTAACCTTAATCTTAAATTAATACCAAAAAACTCATTTTTGTTTTCATGAATGTTTACGATATAGGCAATTTTGACTTTGTGGATGTGGTAACTAGTGAAAACCGTGCTTCAGTTCTGGTTTTGATTTACGGTACAACCAAAAAGCCACATGGGTTTGCGTCGTGTGGAAATAGTGTTTGGCGCAATTCGCTCCTGCAGCTGAACTTATTTGTTGTACGAAGGTAGCTATGTTTATACAAATATATATATTTTTGTATTTCATTAGTTGCAAGAGGCTACCACAATGTGCTCAGCAAAGCATAACGTGATATTATTTTGATATTATGTAAATAAGCAATCCATGTTGGATAACCCTAGCTAACTGTTAGCTACCTTGTTCAGTTGATCCCTGCTGTAAAGTTGCAGTGTAACAATAGTAGTTTAATTTGTTAGATGTCACCAAAACGTTACAGCCCTTACAAGTCGCTGTACAGATAGCTATTATGAATCAGAAACGTGATATAATGTATCGATCAAGTCAATAAATTAGCTACGTTAGCAATACATTTAATGTTAATGTTAACGTTAGCTAGCAACCTAGCTAAATTACGTAGCTAAGGGGTTCTCAAAGTTTTAGGTGCCAGGGACCCCTTTTGTGATACATTCTACAGGGACCCCCTCATAGTTGTCACTTGAAAGGATAAACATAAATCACAAATATCGCCGCTGGCAGGGTGCTGCCTCTCGCCCCCAAGTGTTGCCTCATTGAACGGTCCTTGCTATTCGGATCCTTGTGTCATCCCTACCCCATTTAAATTGACATTTAAATTGGTTAAGGTTCGGATTAGGGTATGGTTTAGCGTAGGGACGTCCCAAGGATTCCAGATAGCACTAACCCTTAGTGAACGGCATCAAGTACTCTCACAGCTAGTTAGCTGGCTAGATGGAGGTGGCAAAACATGAATCTGGACCAGTCCCTGACAAGTGACACCCCAAACATCAAAACGTAGCTAGGAAGCGCTACTTTGTAACCTGCTGTGTTTGTTTTTTTTGTCTCCCAAAACATTTGAATGACAGAGCTTGAGGAATACCCTTTGCAAAAAGCTAATATAACACACCAAATTTCGCGTGCTTCACTGCTGTAAAGTTACCACATAGTTTGAACGTTCTTAGCACGGCACTTGCTTTACATTTGGGCATAGCATCCATTGTTTGTCACGTCACCCAACATCCTGCCATGACGCTTCACCTAACAGTATATGGCCAGTGTGCATTTTCTGCACTTTATTGACCTGGCAAGCTTCTATCTACTCAGCACTCGCCGTAGAAGCAGTAACATAGTTCACAGTAGTTCACTGTCCTCTCTGACTGATGTATATAGTTGCGTTGGTATAGTGTCCAGTCTTGCTGTAGAGCGCAAAAGCAAGATAGACTTATAGCCATGCAAAGAGTGCCCTCTTCAAGAAATATAATTATATGAAGAACATCTTTTTAATCAAATTTTGCAGATCATTACAGGTTGAAGTAAACACTAAGTTTGGCGCATAACTTTGACTTTGCACATTTTCTGTACAGAGATATTGAGAAATAACAACGAGAGAGAGAAATCATAGAAATAAGTGTTTTTACATATTACAATCATTTTATAGCCTAGGTTTCATATACAAACATCATCGGAGATTCAATTGACACGTGCGTATTTGCGTTGAGTTGCCATCTTCGAGAAACAGAAAAGAGCAGAAAGTTGGGGGTTGTATTTGATTAACGGTTATTGAAAAAGTATGGATTTAAGTATTAACCTTGGGAGAATTTTAGTCCGCTAGTCAACATGCTGAGTTTTGGCACTTTAGCAAGCCTTTATTCAAAAAAAATGTTTTGTGAATTTTCCATGTGTTCTATATTAAATGGTACTTAAATTAATGTAACATACTTTTCAAATTCAATATTGGTGCACAATTCTACTGAAAATATCAAAGGGATGCAAAAAAGCACACATTTCATGGAACAACCCATTGTATTGTTAGAGCATTGGGCCAGTAACCGAAAGGGCACTGGTTAGAATTCCTGAGCCTGCAAGGTGAAAATGGATCCCTTGGATAAAATGTAGTCTGTTAGTAATATTCGTTTAAAAACTGTGAAATGTTGTCAAAAATGTTAAATTTTTTGTTTTCACTAAATATTTTGAGATCTGGCCGCAGACCCCCTGCAGTACCTTTGCGGACCCCTGGGGACCCCATTTTGAGAAACACTAACGTAGCTAGCTAGTTTTATTATGGCATTGGGATTGCCAGGCATGTGGAAAAGTCTGTTACTGACATTGTTTGAAAAACATTTTCTTTGAAAATGAAATGCATGGAATTGTAGCTATGCCACTTAGCTAATATAATCTCCTAACTATCACAGGCGCACAAGAAAATGTCTTTCCGAGGAGGTGGTGGAAGAGGGGGCCGTGGTGGTGGATTCAACCGTGGTGGAGGGGGAAGAGGAGGATACGGTGGTGGTAGTGGTGGTGGAGGAGGATATGGGGGTCGAGGTGGCGGCGGCGGTTTCCGAGGTGGTGGACGAGGAGGACGAGGAGGCTTCCAGGACTATGGCCCTCCAGAATATGTTGTTGGTAAGATGAATGAGTTGGCAACGTGATGATGCACCCATATTGATTAAACACTTTCTAGTGATGCAGAGGACATTATTGATGCTTGGCATCCTGAATTTACACCAGTTGTCTACGAATATCCATGTTGTTTGCCAGGCGTTGCAACCTCTGTTGTCGTAGGTTTACTTGCATGTGATGATCCATGTTTTTTTCTGTGCTGACCATATGTCCTTGCTCTTTCCTCCTCAGCACTAGGCGAGTTCATGCACCCCTGTGAGGATGAAATTGTGTGCAAGTGTGTAACGGAGGAAAACAAAGTTCCCTACTTCAACGCACCCGTGTACTTGGAAAACAAGGAGCAGATCGGGAAGGTGGATGAAATCTTCGGTCAACTCCGTGACTTTGTATCCTTTCAATGTTTCGTTGTCTAACCTGTATCAGATTTGAAGTTCAGTGTGGCTCAGTTGGTAGAGCATGGCGCTTGCAACGCCAGGGTTGTGGGTTTGATTCCCACGGGGGACCAGTATGAAAATATATGAACTCACTACTGTAAGTCGCTCTGGATAAGAGCGTCTGCTAAATGACAAAAATGTAAAATGAAGTGGTTGGTTTATCTCATAATTACATTCTTCATGGTGATACAAAATACCACTCAATGTAAAAGTTGCATGCTAGGATTATTTTAAACTGGTTAACACTGAGTTTCATGTCATTTGTGACACTGGTTTGCCCCTTAACCTAAAGCTACAGTATTTCTCTGTCAAACTCTCTGATAATATGAAGGCATCCTCATTCAAAAAACTACAGAAGGTAAGCTTTATCAGTTTGTTACATGTAGCAGAGCTTGACATTAGTTGCTTAAGTACTTTTTATGGTCTATGCGACCCAATCCGGCATCAGTGGGGTTATCTGAGAATGGCAGTGCATTCATGCTTCTTGCGCTTTTCAGAGCGGAAATGACAAACACCTCCCTCAACTCTCCTGTCAACCAATCATCGTCTGTGAATCAAACGCAGAGAATTGGGCAAGGAGCTCCATGCTGCCCCTCCACACAGCCAACGTGTACTTCCGTTTTCGCCACAATAGCATCATAATCGCCTTGCGGAACCTTTGTGCCGTGGACACTGGATTGACCATAAATCTGCTTTAGTTGTTGCATAAAAATGTCTGACATGTATTGTGTAACACATATTCTGGTCCACAGTTCTACGTAGACCCAATGAAACTCCTACCACTACAGAGGTTCCTTCCCAGACCCCCGGGTGAGAAGGGTCCCCCAAGGGGAGGCAGAGGAGGTAGAGGTGGAAGAGGAGGTCCCCGCGGAGGTAAGAGCGAAATGTCAACCGCTCACCCCCACAGCCCCATGGGTGTTTATTCTCTTGTGAATAAAAGTTGAGGAATGTTATTCCATTGATATTCAAACAAAATGAATTTGTCCTCTTTCCAGGTGGATTCCGTGGTGGCAGGGGTGGTGGTGACCGTGGCGGATTTGGCAGAGGCGGTTTCGGTGGTGGGCGGGGAGGAGGAGGATTCAGAGGAAGAGGAGGCGGCGGCGGACGAGGATTCAGAGGTGAGTCCAAATCCTGGAAAAGGAATCCAAGTGACTGTGAATAGACCATTTTCTGTTTTAGATTTCATGATGTTGATGCCTTTTTCTATCATCCAGGTAGCAGATGATGACACTGTATGCCTCGTGGGATCCTCACCAAGTGTCAATACCTGCAGGAAGCAAATCAGTGCGATGCTGGAGCTTGGCTCTGTTGAACTTGACTTATGGAGAACGAACGTTGCATCTTTTTATACTGCTCAACTATCAATTTGTGTTTTGTTTTTGTATACCAATCTATGATGAATAATGTGGGAATTAATGGATTTTTATTTAGTGAACCTTGAAAGCACTCTGCTGTCACAGGGAATATTATCATTAATAGCCCAGTTTTTGTCACTCTTCAACATTGTTCACACTGGATGGTTTTGGGTACATTTAGGATGTCACTGTATTATGCTGTTGAACATGAGCATGTTGGAGTGCAACAGCCATTTCAATGTTGATAAGAGACAGAAATTGATGATACCCTGATGTTGAAAAGGCTTGGTTTTGTAAGTGGAAAGATATGATGGACATTAGTATTCATTACAAATCAGTGGAAAATATTGTATTAACCCCAGAAATCCAATGTGGTTACAGAGTACTGCCATCTTTTGTAAAGAAAAGCCTTTGATTAAACAGTGCTCTGTAGAAGTTTATCCAGTTTTTATTTGGACATCTAACTTGGTCTTTTATTTTTGCTCAAGCAAATAAACATGTGTTCCAGAATCGGAACAAAACCAGGGTGATTTTGTGTTTGTTTCAACACCTTTTGTCAACTGGTCATGTACCGAAAGAAGAATTGGTTGCTAGTACCACGGCCAAAAGCAAATAATCCAGCAGCTCGCTCTGCAAAGGCATGCCCCATCCCTCTGACAAAGGCCACATCAAAGTAAAATGATTCATCTTCTAAATTTGTTAGCTATTTATGTGGATGAAATGTGATCATTTGAGTTATGTCTCCGCCATACATTTTTGTCAGTCTCATTTCTGTAAAGCTCATTGATGTCCCATATCAAGCTGTAATATGTCTTCTAAATGGCTACTGTGACTAATCATGTTAGATACTTCTCCTTGCTGTAATAACAGCTGTGTGGTCAGCATATGAGATACACTCCACAGTGAGGAAATTACATTGCGGTGTCAAATGTCAATGCCTCACATCAGGGGCTGATATCCCTGTTCAGTTTGTGTGCAGGATGCTTCTCAAGAGAAGGGGTAATAAAGCCCCTTATATGTGAGTACCATCTGCGGAGAGTGCCCCTTCAATTTGTTTCAAATGTACCAGTCGACAATGTGATATACTGTATGATATGTTTTGCTATATTTGTATAATAGCCTCCAATAAAAGTCATGCCAATGTGCATTCATTTCATGTGGTTGGCTGAGGATATCATTGGTTTCCACAAATCATGGACGCCAACACCTTTCCTGATTGGTCGAGATGGTAATTCTTGAGCTGCGGCTGCTACCACCCCTTTCCCTCAACCCATGGCAGGATTAAACAGATGGGTATTCAGATAATATTTACTTGGGTCCCAGCCCATGTGAGGGTGGAGGGGAACGAGGCAGTAGATGAACAGGCTAAACAAGCACTTAGTAGTGTTGATGTTGAAGTTTCAATGAGCAAGGCAGAGGCAAAAAGACTGATATATACAGTGATGGCAGGAGCAGTGGAATAGAGATAATAAGGGCATTTATTTCAAGTACAGAGACAAGTCGGGGATGGGAGGACTGCAGGAAGGGACAGAAGAGAGGAGGCTATTTTTACTAGATTAAGGGTGGGACACAGCCAGTTGAATAAAACATTAAATGTGACAGGAAAGTGTGATTGTTGTCAGGAAACAGAGACCATGGAGCATGTATTGCTACAGTGTGTCCCCTGTAACTCAGTTGGTAGAGCATGGCGCTTGCAACGCCAGGGTTGTGGTTTCGTTTCCCACGGGGGGGTTAGTATGAAAATGTATGCACTCACTAACTGTAAGTCGCTCTGGATAAGAGCGTCTGCTAAATGACGTAAATGTAAATGTAAAATGTGTGGACAGTATCAGAGGGAAAGAGAGAGGATGATATCTAGTATGAGGGAGAAGGGGACACAGGAAATTAGTTTAAAGAGTATATTGAGTAGAACGTCATTCGATATAATCTCAAATATTTTGTTATCTTTTTTAAGAGCAACGGGACTGGCAGGTAGGATTTAGTTTCTCCCTGTCTCTGGCCCACACTCCAGTACAGTAGGTGGCGGTAATGCCCCATAATGTTGGATGCCAACCGCCGATAAACCCCACTGAAGAAGAATAACTCTTACCCTCGTGCAGAAGAAAGAACATGGAGACAGCTGGGAAGGTAAGTTCAAAGTACATAAAAATCAACATTGCACACTTTGTGCTTTTTAAATGTGCAATGTTGACACACATTTAGCCGTTGAAATAACATTAAAGCTTGTATTTTCCTTGCAAATGCAGATTTTGTATGGACAATGACCTGGCCATAGAAGTTGCACGTAAAGCCAGCGAGCGATTCAAATAAACATTGTAGTCTGTTTCATTAAGTGGCAGTGAATGAAGTAAAATTACTTTATGTAATTAGAGGGGTCGTCGGATTTGAATGAATCTAGGTAGGCAATAGCCGACTCAACTCCACGATTTACGATACGGTTGAGCTGCGACTAGTGTGTGCAGACTGGAGCTCCGATGTCACATACAATTACGTTTTTATTAAAAACGATTGATTTCAGCACCCACATATAGCCCGCAATTGAACCATAATGTGTTGACAGTAGACGTTCAATATGGCGATTCATGTCTCCAACTCAATCATCAAGTTTGCTGACGACAAAACAGTGGTAGGCCTGATTCCTAACAACGATGAGACTGACTACAGGGAGGAGGTTTCTCTCTCTCCCCCCCCCCAAAAAAAGGACTTCAGGATTTAGCAGAAAGAACACGCCCCCACCCACATTGACAGTTTACAGTGGAGAGGGTCAAAAGCTTCAAGTTCCTCGGTGTGCACATCACTGACAACCTGAAATGGTCCCTTCACACATACTGCGTGGAGAAGGCGCAACAGCGCCCTCAGAAGGCTGAAGAAATGTGGCTTGGCCCCTAAGACGCTTCTACAAATGCACCATTGAGAGCAAACTATCGGGCTGTATCACATTTACATTTTAGTCATTTAGCAGACGCTCTTATCCAGAGTTGTGTGAGTGCATACATTATTTTATTTTTCATACTGGCACCCCATGGGAATCGAACCCACAACCCTGGCGTTGCAAACGCCATGCTCTTCCAACTGAGCTACATCCCTGCCGGCCATTCCCTCCCCTACCCTGGACGACGCTGGGCCAATTGTGCGCCGCCCCATGGGTCTCTAGTGGCACAGCTAGTACTGCGATGCAGTGCCTTAGACCACTGCGCCACTCAGGAGACTATCACCACACCGTCGGCAACACACACTGCCTTCCCTCCAGGATATCTACAGCACCTGGTGTCAGTGGAAGGCCAAGAAGATCATCACCTCAGCCAACCGAGCCACGGCCTGTTCACCCCGCTACCATCTAGAAGGCGGAGACAGTACAGGTGCATCAAAGCTGGGGCTGAAAGTCTGAAAAACAGCTTCTATCTCCAGGCCATCAGACTGTTAAATATTCACCACTAGCCAGCTTCCGTCCAGTACCCTACCCTGAACTTAGTCACTGTTACTAGCCTGCTACCACCTGGTACTCTACCCTGCACCTTAGAGACTGCTCTCCTATGTACATAGCAGAGGAGGCAGGTGGGAGGAGCTATAGGAGGAAGGGCTAATTGTAATGGCTGGAATGAATTCAACGGAATGGTACCAATTAAAACACATGGAAACAAAGCGTTCCATTGATTATATTCCAGCCATTACAATGAGCCTGTCCTCCTATAGCTCCTCCCACCAGCCTCCTCTGGTACATAGACATTAAACACTGGTCACTTTTTAATAATGCTTACATACTGTTTCACCCACTTTATATGTATATACTGTATTCTAGTCATGGCTCATCCTATATAACTTATTATCCACCAGAGCTGTTGCCAGAGAATTGAATGTTAATTTCTCTACCATAAGCCGCTTCCAATGTCGTTTTAGAGAATTTGGCAGTACGTCCAACCGGCCTCACAACCGCAGACCACGTGTATGCTGTTGTTTGGGCAAGCGGTTTGCTGATGTCAACTTTGTGAACAGAGTGGGGTTATGGTATGGGCAGGCATAAGCTACGGACAATGAACACAATTGCTTTTTATCGATGGCAATTTGAATGCACAAAAATACAAAGACGAGATCCATCGTGAGGTCCAAAGGTATCTGTTACCAACATATACATATCTGTATTCCCAGTCGTGAAATCCATAGATTAGGGCCTAATGAGTTTATTTCAATTGACTGATTTTCTTTATATGAACTGTAACTCAGTAAAACCATTGAAAGTGTTGCATGTTGCATTTATATTTTTGTTCAGTATACTATAATTATTATGGGTATTTTTGTGACATAACTGAAATAGAGAGTAGTAGAGACTACGTCGCATTGGCCTCAGTAGAGTAATATCAGCTAGAATCGCGAAGGGTTTGTTGCTGTTTCAAGTTGTCTAATGTGTGAACCAGTCCCCTCCAGATTAAACTAAAGAGATGTTATACTGGCTTTAGACTACACTAGACTACAGATTAAAGTCCTTCCAACTGTTAAGAGGCCCAGTCACTGCACATTCCATATTCAATCACTGACCACCCTCCTCTCTTCAACTGCACTCACCACAGACACCCCAATCAATCTTCCAATTCATAATTTATGTGTATGAAGTTGACTGTTGACACATTGAGCTTCTTTCTTCCAGGTGATCAAGTGCAAGGCAGCAGTAGCCTGGGAGGCTGGGAAACCTCTGTCCATTGAGGAGGTGGAGGTGGCCCCACCGAAGGCCAACGAAGTGCGCATCAAGGTAACCCTTCCCTTTGCCAAAAATGTCTAAGACTAATGCTCCTGTATTGTACTTGCACTTGCATTACATGTCCAGCAACAACATAACCAACAACCCCAGCCTGCAGCAGACTGCTCTATCTTTGGTTTGTGTGTGTGATACAATATATCTTCCTCCTAGAACAATGTCAGTGAGCTCTCGATCTGTAAAACAAAAAGACATACTGTTTGAGGCAGGCCGCTCTTCGGCGGGGATGAACTGTTCAGCAGCTGGAATACTGTGGGGAGCGTCCTGTGTTTTCCTGTCTCCCTGCCCAAATAGATTTGGTGGGCCAGCTGTGAGGAAGACATCTTTGGAATATGTTCAACAGGGCCTATCTGGCCCAGTGTTTAGACTAGAGAACGTCATCATGGTATACTCTATAAGTATTTTACCACATTCCTCTATTATACTAGCTGTCTGTCTTGCACCATTGAGACACAACCATGTGATATTTTCTATGATCAACATAGCAGGTGCAGTAGTTGGTATTGTACTGTAGGAATAGTCCTAGAGGGTTGGGATGTGGTTCAACAATTAGGGATGTTTTAGGCTAGTTGGCACACATGCTTCATAGCCTACTGGTGGTGATGAATGAATTAACTAATGGCAATGTTGTCTTTCAGGTCTTTGCGACAGGGGTGTGTCACACAGATGCCTACACCTTGAGTGGCAGTGACCCCGAGGGACTTTTCCCTGTCATCCTGGGTCATGAGGGCGCCGGGACAGTCGAGAGCGTGGGAGAGGGAGTCACCAAGTTCAAACCAGGTGAGAGACTGTGAATATCAACAAATGTATTCTCCCTAAAACAGAGGTTAGAGCGTTGTGCCAGTAACCGAAAGGTCACTAGTTCGAATCCCCGAGCCAACAAGGTGAAAAATCTGTCTGTGTATTTGAGAAAGGCACTTAACCCTAATTTGCACCAGGGGCGCCGTACTACTATGGCTGACCCTGTCAACAATAAATTTCACTGCATTCAGAAAGTATTCATACCCCTTGACTTATTCCATATATTGTTGTGTTACAGCCTGAATTCAAAATTGATTTAATAGATTTTTTTCCTCATTTACATAAGTATTCACACCCCTGAGTCTACATGTTAGAATCACTTTTCACTGCGATTACAGCTGTGAGTCTTTCTGGGTAAATCTCTAAAAGCTTTGCACACCTGGATTGTACAATATGTGTACATTATTCTTTAAAAAATTATTCAAGCTCTGTCAAGTTGGTTGTTGATCATTGCTAGACAGCCATTTTCAAGTCTTGCCATACATTTAAGCTGATTTAAGTCAAAACTGTAACTAGGTTATTGTCTTGCAGAAAGGTGAATTTGTCTCCTAGTGTATGTTGGAAAGCAGACTGAACCAGGTTTTCCGCTAGGATTTTGCCTGTGCTTAGCTCTATTCCGTTTATCTTTATGCTAAAACAACTCCCTAGTCCTTGCCGATTTCAAGCATACCCATAACATGATGCATCCACCACCATGCTTGAAAGTATGAGGAGTGGTACTCAGTGATGTGTTGTGTTGGATTTGCCCCAAACATAAGGCTTTGTATTCAGGACAAGTACATTTTTTTGGCAATTTTTTTTGCAGTATTACTTTAGTGCCTTATTGCAAACAGGATGCATGTTTTTCTGTACAGGCTTTCTTCTTTTCACTGTCATTTAGGTTAGTATTGTGGAGTAACTACAATGTTGTTAATCCATCCTTAGTTTTCTCCTATCACAGCCATTAAACTCTTTAACTGTTTTAAAGTCACCATTGGCTTTGTGGTGAAATCCCTGAGCGGTTTCCTTCCTCTCCGGCAACTGAGTTAGGAAGGACGCCTGTATCTTTGTAGAGACTTGGTGTATAGATACACCATCCAAAGTGTAATTAATAACTTTACCATGCTCAAAGGGATATTCAATGGCTCCTTTTTAAATGTTTACCCATCTTCCAAAAGATGCCGCCCTTTGCGAGGCATTGGAAAACCTCCCTGGTCTTTGTGGTTGAATCTGTGTTTGAAATTCACTGCTTGACTGAGGGACCTTACAATGATCTGTATGTGTTGGGTACAGAGATGAGGTAGTCATTCAAAAATAATGTTAAACTCTATTATTGCACACAGAGTGAGTCCAGTGAGTCCATGCACCTTATTATGTGACTTGTTGAGCAGATGTTTACTCCTGAACTTATTTAGGCTTGCCATAACAAAGGGGTTGAATACGTATTGACTCAAGCCATTTCATATTTTCATTTTCATTAACTTGTTAACATTTCTAAAAACATAATTCCACTTTGACATTATGGGGTATTGTGTGTGTGTGTGTAGGCCAGTGACGCAACATCTAAATGTATGCCATTTTAAATACAGGCTGTAACACAACAAAATGTGGACTGATGTATGTGACAATAAAACATATATTTTTATTTATTTTAGCCCAGAACTAACATGCCAGAATCAAATAATACAAGGACTTAATCAGTTGAATCAGATAATCAGTTGAATCAGATAATCAGTTGAAACAGATGAATCCGTTGAATCAGATGATCAGTCGAATCAGATGTTTAAGTTCTGGGCTGGAACAAAACCCCGTACACGGAGTCAGTCCCCAGGACTAGGTTTGAATGAAATCGTCCTCCTGAACTGTCTCCTCATTAGATGTCATTTTTCTCTCACAAGGTGACACCGTCCTTCCACTGTATGTGCCACAGTGTGGTGAGTGCAAATTCTGCAAAAACCCCAAGACCAACCTCTGCCAGAAGATCAGGTAATTAGAATGGAATCTGGCCTGTCATTAGCGCAGGATGCGTCAATTATTGCTTGGAAGGTTGAGGTCAAGCTCATTCTATTTTCAAAGTCAGCCAGGTAGGCAGTGAAGGACTGAGCATATCTGTAATGAACATCCTGCGCGTGTGCGCACGCACCACGTCTATTTCTATGGGCACAAGCACTGTTCATGACACAAACTGTTTACACCCCTCTTGTTGGTGGAGAGAATTTTGCAGGTTTAAAGTTTATTTCCTGCAATTCTACGTGTTTTGTCATGGGTGTGCAAAGAAAATGTAGTTTTAAAGCAACATTTCTTTCAATTCTATACATTTTGCAATGCCTAATGTAAAACCTAAATATAAAAACGTTAGCTGACATGGGCTAGTTGATCTGGACATTTCTGATAAGTTATAAATAGCTCTCTAAGGTATGCAATGACTAACATGACGAGCAACTAATGTTGCTCTACCCAATTTCGAAATTGCACCTTGTGCATTCTACTATTACAACTGGCTGTTACTGATAATTATTTACCCTCTCTCCAGGATAACCCAGGGCCGGGGTCTGATGCCTGACAACACCTCGCGGTTCACCTGCAAGGGCAAGCAGCTTTACCACTTCATGGGGACTAGCACCTTCTCTGAGTACACAGTGGTGGCCGACATCTCTGTGGCCAAGGTGGATGAGAAGGCCCCCCTGGACAAGGTGTGCTTGCTGGGCTGCGGCATCTCCACGGGCTACGGAGCTGCCCTCAATACTGCCAAGGTTGGTGGGTGACGCCAGGATGGAATACAAAGTACCTCGTCTAGAAGTGGAAAGCACAAGCGAAGAGTCGCACACAGCTTGTGTCATTTGGTTGTATCACTTTGTTTTATATCCTCTGTAAATTAACTTTCCACTGGTGTAAATACTTAGTAAATATGACCACTGGTTTCAAATTTAGGAAAGCAAATTAATTGGCAATGATCATAATAACACATCTGACACAAAAATTGTATCACATTGTTTTACTGACAAAAGCCATTCTGTAACTCTTGCGTTCCCAACCTACCTGCAGGTTGAGCCTGGCTCCACCTGTGCCATTTTCGGCCTGGGAGCCGTCGGCCTTGCCGTCATCATGGGCTGCAAGGTTGCCGGGGCGACCAGGATCATCGGCGTAGACATAAACCCAGACAGGTTTGACAAGGGCAAAGAGTTCGGGGCCACCGAGTTTGTGAACCCCAAGGACCACAGCAAGCCCATCCAGGAGGTGCTGGTGGAGATGACCGACGGTGGGGTGGACTACTCCTTTGAATGCATCGGCAACGTGGGCATCATGGTAAGACTGTCCATAATAAAGTTAATAATGTCACATTAATACATTCTTTAGCCGTCTCTCAATTCAATTATCTTCTTATGTCTCTTCCTTCGCCAGATAACTTTTTTCAAACGATATGAACAGAAAATATTTATATGGAACAATAAACCTGAGTAAATTGTAGTAAAATATATGTACAGTGCCTTGCAAAAATATTCATCCCCCTTGGCGTTTTTTCCTCTTTTGTTGCATTACAACCTGTAATTTAAATAGATTTTTATTTGGATTTCATGTAATGGACAAACACAAAATAGTCCAAATTGGTGAAGTGAAATGAAAAAAATAAAGTTTCGAAAAATAAATAACGGAAAAGTGGTGCGTGCATACACAGTGGGGAGAACAAGTATGATACACAGACGATTTTGCAGGTTTTCCTACTTACAAAGCATGTAGAGGTCTGTAATTTTTATCATAGGTACACTTCAACTGTGAGAGACGGAATCTAAAACAAAAATCCAGAAAATCACATTGTATGATTTTTAAGTAATTAATTTGCATTTTATTGCATGACATAAGTATTTGATACATCAGAAAAGCAGAACTTAATATTTGGTACAGAAACCTTTGTTTGCAATTACAGAGATCATACGTTTCCTGTAGGTCTTGACCAGGTTTGCACACACTGCAGCAGGGATTTTGGCCCACTCCTCCATACAGACCTTCTCCAGATCCTTCAGGTTTCGGGGCTGTCGCTGGGCAATACGGACTTTCAGCTCCCTCCAAAGATTTTCTATTGGGTTCAGGTCTGGAGACTGGCTAGGCCACTCCAGGACCTTGAGATGCTTCTTACGGAGCCATTCCTTAGTTGCCCTGACTTTGTGTTTCGGGTCGTTGTTATGCTGGAAGACCCAGCCACGACCCATCTTCAATGCTCTTACTGAGGGAAGGAGGTTGTTGGCCAAGATCTCACGATACATGGCCCCATCCATCCTCCCCTCAATACGGTGCAGTCGTCCTGTCACCTTTGCAGAAAAGCATCCCCAAAGAATGATGTTTCCACCTCCATGCTTCACGGTTGGGATGGTGTTCTTGGGGTTGTACTCATCCTTCTTCTTCCTCCAAACACGGCGAGTGGAGTTTAGACCAAAAAGCTCAATTTTTGTCTCATCAGACCACATGACCTTCTCCCATTCCTCCTCTGGATCATCCAGATGGTCATTGGCAAACTTCAGACAGGCCTGGACATGCGCTGGCTTGAGCAGGGGGACCTTGCGTGCGTTACAGGATTTTAATCCATGACGGCGTAGTGTGTTACTAATGGTTTTCTTTGAGACTGTGGTCCCAGCTCTCTTCAGGTCATTGACCAGGTCCTGCCGTGTAGTTCTGGGCTGATCCCTCACCTTCCTCATGATCATTGATGCCCCACGAGGTGAGATCTTGCATGGAGCCCCAGACCGAGGGTGATTGACCGTCATCTTGTGGTCCTCTGTAGCTCAGCTGGTAGAGCACGGCGCTTGTAACGCCAAGGTAGTGGGTTCGATCCCGGGACCACCCCATACCAAAAAAACAAAATGTATGCACGCAGGACTGTAAGTCGCTTGGATAAAAGCGTCTGTAAATCGCATATAAATATTAAATGAACTTCTTCCATTTTCTAATAATTGCGCTCAACAGTTGTTGCCTTCTCACCAAGGCTTTTGTTGTGCTTGCCTATTGTCCCTGTAGCCCATCCCAGCCTTGTGCAGGTCTACAATTTTATCCCTGATGTCCTTACACAGCTCTCTGGTCTTGGCCATTGTGGAGAGGTTGGAGTCTGTTTGATTGAGTGTGTGGACAGGTGTCTTTTATACAGGTAACGAGTTCAAACAGGTGCAGTTAATACAGGTAATGAGTGGAGAACAGGAGGGCTTCTTAAATAAAAACGAACAGGTCTGTGAGAGCCGGAATTCTTACTGGTTGGTAGGTGATCAAATACTTATGTCATGCAAGAAAACGCAAATTAATTACTTAAAAATCATACAATGATTTTTGTTTTAGATTCCGTCTCTCACAGTTGAAGTGTACCTATGATAAAAATTACAGACCTCTACATGCTTTGTAAGTAGGAAAACCTGCAAAATCGGCAGTGTATCAAATACTTGTTCTCCGCACTGTATATTCACCCCCTTTGCTATGAAGCCCCTAAATAAGATCTGGTGCAACCAATTACCTTCAGAAGTCACATAATTAGTTAAATAAAGTCCACCTGTGTGCAATCTAAGTGTCACATGATCTCAGTGTGTATATATACACCTGTTCTGAAAGGCCCCAGAGTCTGCAACACCACTAAGCAAGGGGCACCACCAAGGAAGCGGCACCATGAAGACCAAGGAGCTCTCCAAACAGGTCAGGGACAAAGTTGTGGAGAAGTACAGATCAGGGTTATAAAAAAAATATCAGAAACATTGAGCATCCCAAGGAGCACCATTAAATCCATTATCAAAAAATGGAAAGAATATGGCACCACAACAAACCTGCCAAGAGAGGGCCGACCACCAAAACTCACGGACCAGGCAAGGAGGGCATTCATCAGAGAGGCAACAAAGAGACCAAAGATAACCATGAAGGAGCTGCAAAGCTCCACAGCGGAGATTGGAGTATCTGTCCATAGGACCACTTAAAGCCGTACACTCCACAGAGCTGAGCTTTACTGAAGAGTGGCCAGAAAAAAGCCATTGCTTAAAGAAAAAAATAAGCAAACACGTTTGGTGTTCGCCAAAAGGCATGTGGGAGACTCCCCAAACATATGGAAGAAGGTACTCTGGTCAGATGAGACTAAAATAGAGCGTTTGGCCATCAAGGAAAATGCTATGTCTGGCGCAAACCCAACACCTCTCATCATAACCTCCTGAGTGGCACAGTGGTCTAAGGCACTGCATCGCAGTACTAGCTGTGCCACTAGAGAACCTGGTTCGAATCCAGGCTCTGTCGTAGCCGGCCGTGACCGGGAGACCCATGGGGCGGCACACAATTGGCCCAGCGTCGTCCAGGGTAGGGGAGGGAATGGCCGGCAGGGATGTAGCTCAGTTGGTAGAGCATGTTGTGGGTTCGATTCCCATGGGGGCCAGTATGAAAAAATAAAAAATAATAATGTATACACTAACTGTGAGTCGCTCTGGATAAGAGTGTCTGCTAAATGACTAAAATGTAAATGTAAATCACCCCGAGAACATCATGCTGTGGGGATGTTTTTCATTGGCAGGGACTGGGAAACTGGTCAGAATTGAAGGAGTGATGGATGGCGCTAAATACAGGGAAATTCTTGAGAGAAACCTGTTTCAGTCTTCCAGAGATTTGAGACTGGGACGGAGGTTCACCTTCCAGCAGGACAATGACTCTAAGCATACTGCTAAAGCAACACTCAAGTGGTTTAAGGGGAAACATTTAAATGTCTTGGAATGGCCTAGTCAAAGCCCAGACCTCAATCCAATTGAGAATCTGTGGTATGACTTAAAGATTGCTGTACACCAGTGGAACCCATCCAATTTGAAGGAGCTGGAGCAGTTTTGCCTTGAAGAATGGGAAAAAATCCCAGGGGCTAGATGTGCCAAGCGTATAGAGACATACCCCAAGAGACTTGTAGCTGTAATTGCTGCAAAAGGTGGTTCTACAAAGTATTGACTTTGGGGGGGGGGGGGGGTGAATAGTTATGCACGCTCAAGTTTTCTGTTTTATTTGTCTTATTTCTTGTTTGTTTCACACATAAAACATATTTTGCATCTTGAGGTAGGCATGTTGTGTAAATGAAATGATACAAACCCCCCAAAAAATCAATTTTAATTCTAGGTTGTAAGGCAACAAAATAGGAAAAATGCCAAGGGTGGTGAATACTTTCGCAAGCCACTGTATTACTGATTTCAAGAGGGTGGGCTAAGATTGACTGACTAGTTTATAGGCCCTGGATGCCACCTTGAAGGTGTCCTGGATACAGAAACTATATTCCAATCCAAACTGGATTTCAGCTAAATTAACTAAATGCGCCATTCTGATTTTTACACAAAACCACCTCGTTTCTTCAACTTAAACATTTCTCTACCAAAACAACAGTATTTTCAGCAATGCATCTCCATTCCTCCAGGAGGCAATAAAATCATGGTTACACTTACAATTCTATCTACCTGAAACCCCTGAGAAAATTCTTCAGCAACTTATTTGGTATAACTCAAATATTGAAATTGATGGACAACCTCTTTGTTGGCAACCTTTTTATTGTAAAACACATTTATTTTCTAAATGACATTGTGGACAAGGATGGAAAGTTGTTTGATTTTGGAACATTGTGTAGAACCTATGGGGACTCCTACATATGTTCAGTTGGTGTCTGCTATACCCCCCACATGGAAAGTTTAAGATGAAGAAAGAAAAACACAACAGAACTGTATGCCGTCCTTGCTACAGTTTCAAGGCTGGCTTTCCCATCACTCCATCAGTTTATCGTCTTTGGTGACCTCAATGTCCATAGTGCTTCAATTAACAACACAATATTTCTGCTAGGTTAAATATTCATATTCAAAACACCCAACCTTTTTAAACAATTTGTGAAGACCTTCATCCTGGAAAGTACAATTACTATTAGAAATCACAAAATTCAACAGCATCAAAGAAAGGTGGAGTGTTGGGTAACTCTTTAGGCATATTTATTTGACTAAGTTGACTAGAGTTCTATTAAACAATGTTAATTAAAGCATATATACTGTGTGTTATTATAAGGGCAAAATGTTCCATATGCCATGGAATGTAAGCTAACAATGTTTTGTCCTTATTTATTTTTGTATTATGCTACACCATGGCATTGCTGATAACTGTCTTGTTGTATCGTGTCTGTCTGTCTATTGTTATGTACATTGTCCTCAGTTCTTATGGTTGTCAAACAAAATAAAGGCTATGTCCAGCAAAGGCACACTGGCCAGGGGACCACAGGGGAGTGGTGAAAGTAGCTTGAGCTAATGCTAGAGCCTGCAGCGCTAGTTCAGTACTGAGCTCATGGGGGCTGTTCAGAAGGGTGCAACGATAGAAATGTGTGGAGTAGAACAGTTCAGATTCTGTCATATAGAATAGGGAATCGGATCAGTTCTATTCATTGCAATTCTGTCTGCAACGTTCTGAATGTTTTCGCTCACTGAACACACCCCTGCTACCCATGAACCCTCCATAAGTCCTGCTAAGATGGTGAGGCAGGAAACTGGGAAAGTAATTGAACAGTGGCCCCTTTTTTGCTCTCAGATACGGAAGGTGTTATACTCTTCACCACCAGAGGTCACTGTAGGTGGTACTTCAGGCTTTGTCCACAACAGCAAAATACATGTCACTTTGCTAAGCAGATGAGTATTTAGGGAAGCTATCTTCTGATGATGCTCAATTTGTTGTTTCAGAGGGCAGCTCTGGAGGCGTGCCACAAAGGCTGGGGCGAGAGCATCATCATCGGGGTGGCAGGCGCGGGACAGGAGATCTCCACACGTCCATTCCAGCTGGTTACCGGCCGTGTGTGGAGGGGCACAGCATTTGGAGGTAAATGTCGTGGATGATTTTCATGAGGAACCTTGCCTTTTCTGACGTCAACATATTTTACTCTGTATAGTCACCTATATTTTGGGGATAAATGAGCAGCAATGTGGCACTAGTTATGATACTTATTTTTTATGGAAGTATGATAATGCATATATTCCTCATGATGTTTTCCTGTTCCTCTGTCCCAGGCTGGAAGAGTGTGGAGAGCGTCCCCAAACTAGTGACTGACTACATGAACAAGAAGCTGAAGGTGGATGAGTTTGTGACCCACACCTTGCCCTTTGACCAGATCAACGAGGGCTTTGACCTCATGCACGCTGGAAAGAGGTAAATAGAGCAGGTGTTGCATCATATTACATCAATAAGTGATGTTAGTTTATTTTAAAAAATATATATAAATTCCAACACAAAGTATATTAAAGGTCTTTAAAGCTGTATGCTAATCACCATATTTTAATTTGTCCTTTCCAGTATCCGTACCGTCCTGAAGTTCTGAAGTCCCTCCCTGCCATGTTGAGCCTCACACTCAGCTCCGGCCCTTATAAAACAATCACCTTTCATACACTGTAGCACTTAATGTCATTCAACTTTCAGAATTAGATCTCCAGTCCAGTTGTGTACATATGTGGCATGTCCAGTCATTAGATCAATAAATGTGTTAAAAACAGTAGTCCTCTTAATGTTTTCTTTCCAGTTTGAAGTTAAATGTCATAGTACGGCTAACTTTGAAATATATTATTTTTCCATTTCCATTGATCCATGACTAGTTGCCTAAGTATGGAGTGGCGCAGTTGGTCAAGCACTGCATCGCATGCAAAACTTCCCACTAGCTTTCGAATCCAGCTCGTCGCACCCGCGACGGGAAGTCATGGGCGGCGCACAATTGGCCCAGCGTCGTCCAGGTGTAGGGAGGGCAATGGCCGCAGGGATTAGCTCAGATGTGATAGAGCAGGGTGTTTGCAACGCCAGGTTGTGGTTCAATTCCCACAGGGGGCCAGTATAAAAAAATAAATAAATATGTAAGTCGCTCTGGATAAGAGCGTCTGCTAAATGACTAAAAATGTAAAAATGTAAAATGTGAGTGGATGACTGAGAAATTAGAACAAAGGACTTTCCATACTAAACAGACATGTAATCCTATTGAAGTCTGGCAATCATTCAGAGCTACACAGCCAAATGGTTTACTTATGCGACATTGATTTGATTGATCATGGATACATCATTGATAGGGACTTAACAGGTAAAAGATGATGGAGCAAAACGACTTAGGCACTATTTTGAGCAGAGTATCGGCATGTTTTGACATAGACTAATGTAGTAAGATTGTCACTGAGTAACCCTGGTATCAAAGCACATGAAAATGCATGCACTGTTGTGTAATGGAGACTAAATATAAAAGCGTCTGCTAAATGGCATATTATTATTATTATAAATAAAATGTCTGCATTGTGTACAGATGAAGTGGTAGTAAAAAGGTGGGTAAAACCTAATGCCTTAAACTAGTGTAAAAATAAATATATTCACAAAATAAATAAAGTGGTCATAGACTTAATTACTGTACTTTACAAGTGTGTCATGCAATTTTGAAGTTGAAGCGCTCACATCTGTGAGCATGCGCAGTTAGGTTTACCGTAGTTGGTTATCACGTTGGAAAGCGCAATCCAATCCGCTTATATGTTTCACATTACAGAATTGTGAATCAGATCATCAGAAGATGGCGACAGCTGAGTCGGTGAGAGATTGCATTAACTCTACATTTTGTATAACAATGGGCAGTTTTAGGTTACAGTTAATCTCAAATCTATCAAATTAGATATATTAGCTGGTGATTCAAATGTATGGGGGTGTTGCTGCGAGTGCATGACCACAGCAAATGTGAGAATGATTGTTGGAATGTTCGACTTCGAGGGCTCCTAAATTAACCACAGCTAGCTAGCTAATCGATTGTGCATGCTGGAGTTGTGCATACTGGGCATATAGCATGTGCATGCTGGAGTTGGGCATATAACAAGTCACAAGACGTCTCAATGTTAGTCACTATAACTTCATAAGTATTGAAGGTGAAACATATCCATGCCCAGCAGTGTTAACAGTACTAGGAACACCCAACAGGCATGCTCGCCACCGCCCCTTCAAGAAAAGTAGCTAGCGAGATTACCTTCTTGGTGCTTTCCAGGGGCAAGTTGCGCCAGTTGGGCGTAAAGGAAAAGTTGATCTTAAATGCTAGGTCGCTTATTAACCTCTCTTCCCCATCTCTCCAGGAATCAACTTTGAATCCCCCAAATTCCGAGGAAGAAAAAAGTGAAACAACTGGTCAAGAAGTTGTGAATCCTGAAGATTACATCAAACACCCACTACAAAATAGGTAAATACTGTAGCTGCTTAACCTAGCTAGTTACACATGAAAATACATAGCTAGCTATATCAGTATGCACTAATGTTAATGCCTGAATATGATTTCTACCAGTCTTGTCAGGCATGGGTAAAAATATTTACAGGAAGCACTAAAAGTATACTGTGGCCTCTGATCTGCACCACTATCCACTTGCCCTTGCTTTGACTTAGTCATGTGTGAATACATTTTACATATGGGTGGCCCCAGCTGGACTCGAACACACAACCTTTGACGTTGCAAGCGCCATGCTTTACCGACTAAGCCACACAGGACCAACATCTTCCCCCTCAATCGCTACACAATCTGTAAGAAACATACATAGTACGCTGAACTGTCATAATGTTGACTGGGAGTGTGCTTTGCCTGATGCATTGTCAATATACGCTTATAGGCTATAGACAGGTTGGTTGTTCAGCAACAAAACCGACACGTGCGCAACTGTGGGGCAAAACAGACAGGGTTGGCTTAGACTGTTGACATGTAAACTATATTTAGACTCCAAATGTTTATTGAAAACAAATACATTTGCACAATAAGCACTTGTCTTTCAAATACATCGTTGTTGGTTAGCTAGCTAGTCAATTCTTGCTATATTAGCATTGACATGAAATCAGTCAAAACAAGACATGGTATCAAGCGCAAGATAAAACTAGCTGAAACGAGCCACCTATGATTCCCCACATGGCAGCTTCTTGTCATTGTTGCTAGCTATCTGACCGTTCAGAATCATAACAAATCACTGCTTCCGGCCACATCGATGGGCGCACATTATTTTCGTGACGTTGTCAGCCAATCCGTCTATAGTGTTGACAGTCTTTGTATTTTGTTTGCAATGCAGATGGGCTCTGTGGTTCTTCAAGAATGACAAAATGAAAACATGGCAAGCAAACCTCCGTCTCATCTCCAAGTTTGACACAGTGGAAGACTTCTGGGCGTAAGTATTTTATTGTAGAAAGTCACCTACAACATCCTACATATATTCAGACTCTGAGGGTCTTACTGCTTCCTGTTTCCCCAGTCTGTATAATCACATCCAACTATCAAGTAACTTGATCTCCGGCTGTGACTACTCACTTTTCAAGGTAAGGATGATTTTCCATATCTGTAATCTCACACATGCTCTTTTTTCTTCCATACACTTTTCTACATCCATAACAGCACATGTTTGTCTGTTCAGGTTGTGGCCTGTAGCAACAACCAATGAATTGTCCATAAAAAAGTATGTTAATTCACTGAAATTCAGTTGAGTTATTGACTTGCTCAGTGCCTTTTAGACAGGGCTACACTATGACAGGGAGTTGTCACATCTCCCAAGGTCTCGTTTCAGCCTGTGGCTTTAGCTTTCACTGCAAGGGTTATGACCCCTCCCAAGGAGGTCAGTCTGCCCTAAATAGACCACTACTCAGACTGTTGAACAGCCTATATCAGTCATAATTCAATGTCATGATATTCTACCAGTATTGGTTGGCTGCTTTTCACTTCAGTCCGCTTTCAGTTCCGTTCCTAATGTCGAACTAGATTTCAGATTTAGGTTTCATGTATTCCCCTTTAAGTAACAGCCAAACATACAGAAACTGAGAACAGAGTTGTTCTTCGGTACAGCTTAATCCCTTTATCTGAAAACCAGTTTAATCCAAAGCCTGTCTATCATGTTCAAGTTCTGCAACCAAAACAAGCAATTGTCGAGGCTTCTGCCCCTACAGCCTGATCTGTGCAGACAAGCAACCCCTGACCTATAATGGCAAACACTGTGTAGAGGGAAAAAAAAAAAAAAAAAAGTTAGGGACTTTACCTTTGCCCCCTGAGCCGGGTCTGTTTTTGTACTGCAGGATGGAATCGAGCCCATGTGGGAGGACGAGAGGAACAAGCGTGGCGGCAGGTGGCTCATCACACTGTCCAAACAGCAGCGCAGGGCTGACCTCGACCGCTTCTGGCTGGAAACGGTTAGTACCCCAACCCTACAGGTCTGATTACACGCACAAAGGGAAGAACTACACTAAGATATATTAACTATTTGTATGTAACCATACTCTGTAAAAGCTGGTGTATTTAACTCATGTTAAGTGTGTGGGACATAACTCTGCTATCTAGTGAACTCTCTCTCTCACACACACAAACACAAAATAATTCTTAGATATACTCACACAGCCTAAATGCGCACTTTTTCCCAGAAGGACATCTACAAAAGCATTACATGTCTCAGAAAGTTGACTATGTTTAGCTGTCATTAAAGTGTTAAAACATTTGGCTCTCCATGTGCGTTGCAGCTCCTGTGCCTTGTGGGCGAAGCCTTCGATGACCACAGTGATGATGTATGCGGGGCAGTAGTAAACATCCGAACAAAAGGAGACAAACTTGCGATATGGACAACAGACTATGAGAACAAGGATGCCATTACACACATAGGGTGAGCCGGCGTCGCAGTACCATTTAGTTATCCCTGAAAGATGTTGAGCATCTCTTGTTTTTATCCATATCCAGATATTGTTTACTAGACTGTATTTTCCCTTCTCTGTAGACAAGGGTGGAAGGAGAGGTTAGGCGTGCCACACAAGGTGATCATAGGATACCAATCGCACGCGGACACTGCCACCAAGAGTGGTTCCACCACCAAGAACAAGTTTGTCGTCTGAGTTTGTTTTTGTTTGGTTGTTTGTTTTTCCTTTCCGCTTCCATGGCGTTTGTTGAAATTCTGTTGCGAAGTTTCATCTGCTACCCAATTGAAACCAAAGCTTCAACACAGACAATTGCCTTCATTCAATCAATTGCAATATGATTTCAAGACAAAATTATCTCATTCATATCTGCCCTGAAACAAACCTATACCTTGTAGGGTGGAATACCCATGAGAATTGAAATACCCCCAAAAAGTTTACAATTTGATAAACGTGCTTTTTTATGCACCATTTTACTTTTCTTACCGAGGATATACTAGGAGGCTTTTTGTTGATATTTTGTATGTTTAACAGCAGCACACTCGTAGCTGCCAGGGACTTTTCTGTTTTTTCGGGATGCCTAAGTCCAAACTGTATTTTTTAAAAGTATATATATATATATACACACACACACAGTGCCTTCGGAAAGTATTCAGACCCCTTGACTTAGTCCACATTTTGTTACGTTACAGCCTTATTCTAAAATTAAGTAGTTTTTTCCCCTCATCAATCTACACACAATACCCCATAATAACAAAGCAAAAACAGGTTATTATAAATGTTTGCTAATTTATTTAAATAAAAAACTGAAATATCACATTTACATAAGTATTCAGACCCTTTACTCAGTACTTTGTTGAAGCACCTTTGGCAGCGATTACAGCACCGAGTCTTCTTGGGTATGACGCTACAAGCTTGGCACACCTGTATTTGGGAAGTTTCTCCCATTCTTCTTTGCAGATCCTCTCAAGCTCTTGTCAAGTTGGATGGGGAGCGTTGCTGCACAGCTATTTTCAGGTTTTTCCAGAGATGTTCGATCGTGTTCAAGTCCGGGCTCTGGCTGGGCCACTCAAGGACATTCAGAGACTTGTCCCAAAGCCACTCCTACGTTGTCTTGGCTGTGTGCTTAGGGTTGTTGTCCTGTTGGAAGGTGAACCTTTACCCCAGTCTAAGGTCCTGAGCGCTCTGGAGCAGGTTTTCATCAAGGATCTCTCTGTACTTTTCTCTGTTCATCTTTGCCTCGATCTTGACTAGTCTCCACAGCATGATGCTGCCACCACGTTTCACCGTAGGGATGGTGCCAGGTTTCCTCCAGACTTGACGCTTGGCATTCAGGCCAAAGAGTTCAATCTTGGTAGAGCATGGCGCTTGTAACGCCAGGGTAGTGGGTTCGATCCCCGGGACCACCCATTCGTAAAAATGTATGCACACATGACTGTAAGTCGCTTTGGATAAAAGTGTCTGCTAAATGGCATATTATATTATTATATTATTGGTTTCATCAAAACAGAGAATCTTGTTTCTCTGAGAGTTTCTAGGTGCCTTTTGACAAACTCCACGCGGGCTGTCATGTGCCTTTTACTGAGGAGTGGCTTCCGTCTGGCCATACTACCATAAAGGCCTAATTGGTGGAGTGCTGCAGAGATGGTTTTCCTTCTGGAAGGTTCTCCCATCTCCACAGAGGAACTGTAGAGCTCTGTCAGAGTGACCATCGGGTTCTTGGTCACCTCCCTGACCAAGGCCCTTCTCCCCCGATTGGCCAGGCGGCCAGCTCTAGGAAGAGTCTTGGTGGTTCCAAACTTCTTCCATTTAAGAATGATGGAGGCCTCTGTGTTCTTGGGGACCTTCAATGCTGCAATGTTTTGGTACCCTTCCCCAGATCTGTGTTTCGGAGCTCTATGGACAATTCCTTCGACCTCATGGCTTGGTTTTTGCTCTGACAAGCACTGTCAACTGTGGGACCTTATATAGACAGGTGTGTATGCCTTTCCAAATCATGTCCAATCAATGTAATTTTCCAATCAAGTTGTAGAAACATCTCAAGGATGATCAATGGAAACAGGATGCACCTGAGCTCAATTTCAAGTCTCATAGCAAAGGGTCTGAATACTTATGTAAATAAGGTATTTCTGTTTTAGATGTTTTTAAAAAATGTGTACAACATTCTAAATACCTGTTTTCGCTTTGTCATTACAGGGTACTGTGTGTAGATTGCTGAGGATTTTTTTTTTTTAATCAGTTTTAGAATAAGGCTGTAAAGTAACAAAGTGGGATGATATAACCTATCAAAAGTTTGTACACACCTATTCATTCAAGGGTTTTTCTTTATTTGTACTATTTTCTACCTTGTAGAATAATAGTGAAGACATCAGAACTATGAAATGACAGATATGGAATCATGTAGTAACCAAAAAAGTGTAAAAAAAAAAAAAACGACATCTATTTTAGATTCTTCAAAGTAGCCACCCTTTGACTTGATGACAGCTTTGCACACTCTTGGCATTCTCTCAACCATCTTCACCTGGAATGCTTTTCCAACAGTCTTGAAGGAGTTCCCACATGTGCTGAGCACTTGTTTGCTACTTTTCCTTCACTCTGCCGTCCGACTCATCCAAACCATCTCAATTGGTTAGAGGTCAGGTGATTGTGGAGGCCAGGTCATCTGATGCAGCACTCCATCACTCTCCTTCTTGGTAAAATAACCCTTACACAGCCTGGAGGTGTGTTGGGTCATTGTCCTGTTGAAAAACAAATGATAGTCCCACTAAGCCCAAACCAGATGGGATGGCATATCGCTGCAGAATGCTGTGGTAGCCATGCTGGTTGTGTGCCTTGAATTCTAAATAAATCACCTACAGTGTTACCAGCAAAGCACCATCACACCACCTCCTCCATGCTTCACGGTGGGAAATACACATGCAGAGATCATCTGTTCACCTACACTGTGTCTCACAAAGACACGGCGGTTGGAACCAAAAATCCCCAATTTGGACTCCAGACCGAAGTTCCACCAGTCTAATGTCCATTGCTCGTGTTTCTTGGCCCAAGCAGGTCTCTTCTTATTATTGGTGTCCTTTAGTAGTGGTTTCTTTGCAGCAACCATGAAGGCCAGATTCACGCATCCTGTGAAGAGTTGATGTTGAGATTTGTTTGTTACTTGAACTCTGAAGCATTTATTTGGGCTGCAATTTCTGAGGCTGGTAAATTTCTGAGGGTGGCTACTTTGTAGAATCTAAAATATAAAATAGATTTTGATTTGTTCAACACTTTTTTGGTTACTACATGATTCCAGATGTGTTATTTCATAGTTTTGATGTCTTCACTATTATTCTACAATGTAGAAAATAGTGAAAAATAAAGAAACCCTTGAATGAGTAGGTGTGTCCAAACTTTTGACTGGTACTATATATAATACATTTTCTGAATGGAAATACTCTTTCATTGTAAACTTAAACAGCAAAAAACAAATAAATCTTTGAGAACTAACAATCATCAAAATAAACGCTGAACAGTCAGGGGAATTTAAAATTACCAAAACAATTAATTTAACAGTATTGATTTTGTTATTAAGTTTCAGCAAAATAAGACCGTATTATCCATGGCCAAATGCATAGCATTGCAGGAAATTATCTTTAAAACTGCTAAATGTTCTCTCAGCCACATGGCAGAATATGTAGAATCCCTGGAAATCATCTTTAAAACTGCAACATTTTCTCTCAGCTCCTTGGCAAAATGTGTAGAATTGCACGAAATTAACTTTAAAACTGCAAAAAAAAATTGTGTTGTAGTTTCCTTCATTGAATCTCAGTTCATTATTTTTCATTGGTTTAGCCTAAGTTGGTCGAAGTTGACCAATACGATAATTTGCCTTAAGTTAAAGTTTCGTAAAACTTTTGGTATTGCAGATCTATGTAGTATTCTTATGTTTATTTCTGTCACAATATTATATTCTTCATGTAAACCTGTATTTTCTTTTTAAGCACATCAAGATGCCTTGATAAAGTGTATGTAAAACTGTACTTGTATTCATTGGAGGTCTATTAGGTGTGACTGAATGCCTTGCTTTGGCACCTTGTCCCGCTCCTATGAACATGGTACAAAAGATGACTGTAAATAAATGTAAAGTATGTTGTCTTAACTCTGGAAATGGAGATTCCTCTGTTTTAAATGGATGTTGATGCCTGTAGTCTTGTTCAAAACTACTGTTTCAGAGAAGCTTTTTACATCAGTATCAAGCCCCACCAGACTAATTCGCAGTGCAATGGTGATAAAGAGATACTTATTTTCCATGAGCCATTCAAAAGAACAAACACATCAAGATAAACCTCTTAAAGATGCACTCCAGGATCTTAAGCACAACAAATTCGTAACATATCGTACGAATTCGATTCGTAACAAATCACCCGAATTGCAAAAAAAAAAAGAGTAACAATTTTATTCTGGATGTAATTTACGATATGGATGACTTAGTACACAATTTGACATACTACACAAAAAAGAGGGACCACTTTTGGCTCCTGAGCACCACTTTCAAAACTACTGGCTGAAATTATACTAAAGTTTCAGAGTGCATCGTTAATTCTCACCAGCAATGTTTCCATCCAATTGGCAACAGATTTTCATGCAAATATTCTAAAATCTGCGTAAGGAAAATGTGAATTTTCCCACCAGTGGTGCGTTTCCATCACATTTTCAACTCTACCAATAGTTTTGTCACAATTTATTTAGCATTAAATAGGAAATGTGCCTACTCTGGTCTTGGCACGTGCGCTCTAGCCAACAGCTCCCAGATACAGTGCGGTTAGGCTTGTCTACGTGATGAGATTATTATGGATAAAAGTGAGAATATTTTTACTTGTCAAATGGCAGTCAAGCATCAATCGTCACGTCACCAGACTAAGACCTTCGATATTTATTGGAAAGGAGCATCAAGATCACCTTTCACTACCCTGAGAAGTTCATAAGTTATTTCATCTGTAGCCTAATAAACTGCATGGTTTCCCAAGTCATAGTGGGAGGACCACACACACAATATCATCACGTGACTCCAAGTTTACTTCGATATGATGGTTATATCATTATTTGCACATAAAGGTGTTCCCACCACCATTTATTGCATAATGTTTCCATTATATTTGAGTCATTTAGCAGACGCTCTTATCCAGAGCGACTTACAGTTAGTGAGTGCATACTTTTTTGCATACTGGTCCCCCATGGGAAACGAACCCACAACCCTGGCGTTGCAAACGCCATGCTCTACCAACTGAGCTACACGGGACTACAAATGTTATGACATTTTTTTTTACATTTTAGTCATTTAGCAGACGCTCTTATCCAGAGCGACTTACAGTTAATGAGTGCATACATTTTTTCGTACTGGCCCCCCATGGGAATCGAACCCACAACACTGGCGTTGTAAGCGCCATGCTCTACCAACTGAGCTACAGGAGGTTTCCATCACAGCTGTCATTATCTTTTTTTTTTTATAACGAGTGACTTTACTTGTATAAAAACTGTGAATGGAAACGTGGTTACTGAAGATATCAAGTTGTGTTTTCCCTGTAGATGGAAATGATGCTGAAGTCCACTAAAGATCACCCATGTGCTGCACCTTTCTGAGGTGTGGATGT